AGATTGTAAGCTTGAAGAACATGATCTTACTTTTTGTACTCATTTATAATTTCTTGCAATCCAGCCCACCGCCGTAACTACTATCAAAATTCAACTTGATCCAACCTTCACTTGGTGGTTTCCATTGGCTACTCTTATCACTTTGGTTTGTTTTTTCATGGCACTCTGAATGTAAAACCACTTCCACCCATTCCATAGTTCCTTCATAGCTCCGAATTGCATCTTCATTAGCTGTAAATAGGTGTCTATTTGATTGTAAATCCAAATCACAACTCAAATACTTTCTTCTTCGAGGAGAGAAAATAACAAATTTAACTGGGCCTTATTATCATTAAAGCTATGAGATAATGGTAAGACCACGACTACCATCTGGTTGATTCGTTGGTTATCTTATTTGGGCCTTAATGTCACAAAACATGACATTTTTCTCCTTTTTCAGTTATTTTTTTTGTTCAATGGATCCAATCTTACATCTTCACCATTTAAAACGTCACTAGATGATTGATCCGCACCGTGTGCGGAAATGAATTTTGTTTATGAAAATAGGTTAATTTATATTTAACAATCCGATTTTATCATTTATAAAGAGTAAATAAACATTTTTGTTTCTCATTTTGATGCATGCATTAAATTGATATGTGTGAGGTAATATTATCTATATTTTGTTTGTTATCTACATTTATTTTATTTATTTTTCTCGGTTTCTATATTTTCATATTTTAATATTTCATTTTTCTTTTCATCGTTTTCTTTGTCACTTCTTATTTTTCGTCTTCTTCTTCCGGTTTTTATTTGTCTTCGTACTTCTTTGTTTTCTTCTTTGTTATTCTTCTTTCTTGTTCTTCTACTCATACTCTTGTTTTTTCTAAGATTGTTACTTGGGTCCAAAATCGCTAGATTTTTTTATTTTACTCCGACTTCGTCTTTGTTATTTCTTTCGGTTTCGTCTTTTTTTTTTTTTTACTTTTTTTCTTAATTTTTAATTTATTTTATCTTCTTTGTCTTTTCACTTTTTTCTTGTCTTCTTCTTCCCATTTATTTTCCTTCTTCCTCTTATCTTCTCTTTCACCGTCTTTGTATTATTTGAATCTTTTTATATCTTTATTAGTTTGTCTTTGTATTATTGCACTCCTCTTTAGTTTTTTATCATTCTTCTTATTATTTTGAAAGGTTATTACTTGCGGCCGAAATCACTATATTTTCTCGGGGTTTTTTTTGTTTTTCTCCGACTTTTTCATTTTGACTCGTTTTCGTCTTTGTTTTGTCATTATTCTTATTCCAATATTTATTATTCTCTTTTTTTCTTAACCGTCTTCCTCTACTTATTGCTTTTCAAGTTTATTTTAACTTTGTATTCTTTTTCCGATTTTCTTCATCTTCTTTTTCCAAAGTTTTAGTTTTTTCTACGATTTTTAGTCTTCATTTTTTGATTTTTTCTTTTGATTTTTTCTTCTTTTTCTTTTTTCTTCATAATCTTTTTTCTCAATTTTTTTTTACTTTCTTCTTCTTATGGTATTTCATTTTATTTGTCTTCGTATTCAACTTCTTTTTTAGCTCCTTCATTTTCTAGTCTTTTGTTCTTTCTTCACTTACTTCGTCGTCTACTTCTTCTTGTCCACTAAAAAAATAAAAACAATTGAATGTTGGTCTTCTTCACTTTAATTTGGGATTTTCTTTGCATTTTCGTAAAAACCAAAATAAAAAAAGAACCTTAAGGTAATTCTATGATGTTATTCTTTTATATATTGTTCTAAAATAGAAAAAACAGAATTAATTTTCATGAAAGTCTCGTATTTATTATAAATGCATAAAAAGTTAAAATCTTATATGTTGTAACAAATTAATTTGATTTCTCAAAAAATAAACAACGTTATATTTCTTAGGTGATTTTCTGATGATATTATTTAAAAAATGTTTATAAATCGGGATAACAAAATGATTTAATACAAAATCTCGTGTTTATTCCAAATAGATATAAAAGTTAAAGTCTTATTGGGTGTAACAAAATAAATGATACTTTTTTTTTGGTAAACATGTTAAAATAAATGATACTTTAAGAGTTGTTATTATTATATGGACCATTTTGGAATATCCCATTTTGTTCATCAAGAGATTTGTTGCTAAGATTAGTTGTTTTCACTTTTTTTTTTCTTTTCTCGATAGTAAAAGAGATGGGCAAATTAGATGTTTCGGAAAATGCATGGATGCATTTTTTCCCCACGCAAAGCATGCATTACTTTCCAACTTCCAATATCAATGCTCGTGAGTAAATGGTGCTCAATTACTCTATTTTTATCCTGTTATCATTTCTGTTTT